CGACATAACACACACACACACACACACACACACACACACACACACACACACACTGGAGCCTGGTAGCTCGGAGAAGTTACTGTCTTCAGAGTCAAACCCAGCATGTCTGTGTCAGTAAGATCTCCAGAAAAGACACCAACAAAGCAGATTCCTCTCTTAAAAACCAAGAAGCAGCTTAAGCCACTTTCTTTCTACCAAGAGCAACATACTGTGCTGATCAGCTATTCATTATTACTGCAGATAGCAGGGTCAGTACACAGTGCAGGTGATGCAGAGACATCCGGACATGCAGTTTGTCTAGTGAAGGGACACGGTCCACTCAAATCCTACCCCACAAATGGATTTCATAAAGGACAGGATCCACAGGCATTCACAGGTATAAGACAATTAAGTGAAAAGGGTTTTTTTCTTGTTTTCATTTCCTGGTGTCAGAGACAAGCATAGCATCATTGCTACAGCACAAGAACCAGGAAAAGAAACTGACTAGGACCAGGAGCTTCCAAAAGGAGCCAAGGGCAACAAGTAAACAAACAGCAGCAGGGGGAGAAAGTAAAGGAGATTTTTAAACATTCTTTTGGTTTTAATAAACTAAGTATTAGGCAACACAGGGAAAAACATCTTCTAAAACATTCTTTTTATTCGGCCAGCGTCCCTATATAAAAAACTATATGCTGGAACTGCCAAAGATGAATATGTAAACAGGTCTGCAGCAGTAGCACAGTTTAGTTTACCTGGTTGAAAACATGCCTGTGTACTGCAGATTACATACACACATGCTAATATAGATGCATATTTATAAAATACATTGCAAACACTGCGTCACTTTTCTATGTACCCCAAAACCTAACAATCTAGGCAAAAAACCTGACAAAAGCCAGGAAAGGCAGAGTTAATGCTGGAACCTGGGGCTTTCCTTATCCCATTAATCCTGGGGATTGCCGGGGACTCAGGGAGAGAGACAGAGACAGAGAGAATCATGTGACACCTGGAACACCATGAGTGGGTAGGATGGAGAGGCAGCAGCAGACTTAGTTTCTGGGTAAAGAACACAGGATGACTATTTAGTGCCACATGCTCGTTCTACTGAGGCAGGTTGGAACCCCATGAGTAGCGTGTGGTGTACGAATTGCTGATGCATTGTGCATTAGCTCTACGCTCACCGGCTTCGGAGTGTACTCCCACTAATCCAGGGAAATCATTCTCTAAAGCAGGCTTGTGTGCTCACAATGATGCCACCACACCTCAGGGAGCTGTTCTTTGAGGTGCCAAGCCATAGTAAGAATGGTGTCGTAGGCTAACCCCTACTGCAGGACTCAAATGAGGTTCAGAAACATGCTTTGCCAGGGTTTAACATTACATCCCGTGGAGGCAAACCAGGGTCCCCACCTTTAAAACATATGTTCTTTAACACAGCTGAGGAGCGGTACCGTGAGCAAGGCATGGAGCCAAACTGACTCTGCTGTGCATGGGAGAAACGCCAATGACTTCAGCAGGTTGCACCCGCTTACATTAAGGCCAAGTTTGCATCACTTGTGACAAAAGCATTGGTGCCCCTTACTGCTGAAGCTGCACTGGCTGCCTATTGCCATAACATTATGGCAGCAGTGCTGCCTCCTGCTATAACATTACAGGGGCTTGGCCTCCCTGCTGTGACGTTGCAATGGTGCCTCTGACTCTGGCGCTATGGTGACCTGGTACTCCCTCCCCCGCAGGCTACAGACACAGAGATTCCCTCCTCCATTCACCCCTAAACTAGGAAGTCTGCTCCAGTTTGTACAACATACTCGTGTGATATCACCGTGAGAGCTGCTCTGTTAGGGCTGAGGGGTCCCTCTTCCAAGGGCGCACACAGCCTGAGTGCCCAGAGCTGGGAGGACCAGCTTGGGGACTAAGACCTATAGACCTATAGACAAGGGGACATGGGTACTCCCCTCCATTTCTCTCGGGGAGGAACAAGCCTTCGTTAGCCATAGTATCTCTTCTTCATGTTAATGGGACTTTGTTATAACAATTCCCTCTTCCCCCCAGCAAACCTTAAGAATACCTCCCAGGGGCCTGAAGCGGAACCCTAACTAAATACAACGAAAGGAACATCAGGAGCATGTGTGGGCTTCATGCTGGAGCACAGTTCTTCCCACCCACCCCCTGCCATCTCCCAGTTCCCACTCCCACTCCTCTGGGCTCGGGAGAGTAAGAAAGGGGAAGGAAACTGCAGGGTAGAGACAGCTGTGCCTACAAAGCCCTCGGAGGAGAGTGGACCCCCAGGGGGTGATAGGAGTGAAAGGAATTTGCAGTGACTCTGTGAGCTCTGAGCCAGGCAGGTGGTGCTGAGCGGGCTGTAGCTGGAGTCTGCACTGGTGCTTTGCCCCCTCCCTGAGGTGGCTGTTTCCAATCTGAAGAGGTGCTGTGGAGAGGGAGCGTATGGACTGATCTTTTGTAAGGAAGCTGTAATCAGGGTTAGTCAGCCTTGTCCTTCTTCTTTGTGGTGAAAGGGACTTTGTTGGCAACGGCACTGCCCACAGCTCCCACGCCGCTGGTCACCACCGAGACGCCGCCCTTTACCAGTCCAACACTGGCGGCAGGGACGCTGGTCACAGCTGTTTTGGTGAGTTCCAGGCTCTTGCTGCCAACCCAGGCAACTCCTCCCAACGTCGCCCCCACAGCTCCCCGCGTGATGCTGAACAGGCCGCCCGTCACTCTCCAGATCACTCCCGCCTGCTGTTGTGGATGGTCCTTGCTGGAGTCTGCAAGGAGAAAGACAATGGGGAAGCGATTAGATGCATTATCTCCTAAAACTCTTCTCCTAGATAGCGCTGGTCAAGTCAAACTTTGAAGGGTTCCTCACCACCACAGCACGCTAGGAAAAGGCAGACACCCCAATACCTAGAGTCTTCCCCAGGAATACCCCTGCCTCCCCACTGCAATATCCAGGACATTGGAGCAACCAAAGCTGAGACTTACCAGGGAACCACAATTTACACAGTCCAGTGCATAATAGGAGAAGACTTTGGGAAGTTAGTGAGTGCTCAGTGAACGCCCATGCAGTGCAGAAAGGATCAATAAAGCTCAGTTACATAACTGTTGAATCTCAGTGCCTCAATTTAAGGTGAACCCCGTTAACAAGGGACATAATTCCTCTTCCCTCCACACTAAAGTGAAGGGATTGCTAGCATGAGCTGCAAGTACTGCAGAGCTGTAATGGCTGAGATGCCACCTGTCTGGTGGGCACTTAGAAGTTCTCTCTCTTAATGGTATGCGTGGGGCAATGCTCACAATTTGCCAGGGCTCAGGAGCTGGTTAGTTCCAAGCTGCTACTCATGGGGTTCTAACTTTTCAACTCTGAAGTTGTCTTCCACACCCCTCTCAGCTTGTGTCCACTGCCAATACTGGATGCAGGCAGCAAAGTGGTAACTGTTTTTCTGGAGAGGGGTGGGATGTTTTAGGTGCCAGGACTTCTGATTTGCTGCCAGTTCTATATACAAGACATGTTACAAACAACCACATGGATACAGCAAAGGAGTCTTGCTGGGTAGGAGAGAAAGCTCCCCCTGGAAACATTGGAGTCCTGGAACTAGTAAAGTCCTTTCTAACCCAACACCTGCTTAGAGGGCCGATAGCTAACACACATGGACTCATTTTGATAAAGCAAAACCATGCAGCAGGAGGGCTTTTACTGGGATGTGTTCCCCATGTTCTGGGAAGTGGGGAAATTGTGGAGATGAATGGCAGGCTGCTGAAAGCCTGCATAATAATGATGTGTCTGTACAGAGCCCAAGCCAGGAGTTCTGTCAGAATTAGTCAGTCACTTGGCAAGGAGAATCACAGAGACTTTGTAAGCACTCTGAAGAGAGAGGCTCTTCAGAGCTCAGCAGCGAGATCCGCTAATGCTTATACAGTCCATGGGACATGCAAAGAACTGGCCTGGAACACATTGCCACAAACAAAAGGCTGAGACCACTCAGAGCTGTTCAGCTGGGGAATCTCCAGCAAAACGCTGCTTCCCATTCCTAGCCACATCCCCGGAGTGAGAGTGGATAGATGGGTCACTGGATGCCAAGATGTTACAGGCAATTCACTCGCACTGACCCAAGTGGCTGAACAAGGGAAGAACAGGTTACTGTAGCTAACCAATAGCTGGCTGTGGTCTGTCCCCTTGGATCTTCATAGGGATTTTCATGTCTCACGCATTAGGTCGTGCTCACAGACACACACCATGCTGCAATGTTCGCTGCTCATTCAAGAGGGAGCCCCATATCTATTAACTCAGCTCAACTAGTCAACAGTGTTCCACTTGGAATGCTAATAATATTCCAGGCAACAGGAAATTCTACTTGGAAACACCCTTTTGAGATCACCACTCACTTTCATTTCCATGCAGATTGCAGCTGATATTGATTCTGTCAGTGCATTTCCTTTGCTAGCAAGTGAAGGGCTTGGGAACTCCAGAAAGCAGAGGCTGAATAGCTAATAGCATGGCAGGGCCTTCGGATGCTGGACACCACGGCTGATAGAGACATCAGAGCTATGCCTTCTATGCAAATCCTGCTCCATTTACTGTTACTTTTGCCTCCCACCCTGCACCTCCATCCACGTTTGTTTTGTCCACCTGTTCCTTTTTGTCATTCACTTAAATTGTGAGCTATTTGGAGCACGGACTGTCTTGGGATGTTTTGTAGAGCACTTGGCACAAAGGGGCTCCTTAGTGCAGCTGTTAAACAGGTCCCCGTGTGTTCCACATATTCTAAGCACACCTGCAGGCTAAAGTTCATCCCATCAGATCAATTACTAACAACTGTCACTCCATGGGGAAGGGACTGGTTCTGGATCCTTTACAAAAAATAGCTATAAGGTGCTTTTAAAATCGGACTAGTCCCTGCATCTGATCAGGTCTCTAACTTGGCATGTGTTGGAGCCTTCTTGATTTAGACAATTTTGGGTGCTCTGCTTGCTTTCATGGAAGTTGCTCGGGAGGTGCCATTAGCTGCCTGTAGCTAAGTCCTGAGGCAGTGCTCTTGCTAGGAGACATTGTTGGTGTCAAAGGGTTTGGATAAGCCCCTGATATTTTTAGATCCTTACCTGACTTAACCAGTCTGCAAAACTGGGTTAGAATATGCTCTCTGCACGATTTCTGGTACAGTCCCAGGTGATTAAAATTCCACCTGTTCTACAGGAAAGTTCCTGGCCAGTGGGCTCACTGCCACAGAACACTGCACTTTTGTAAGAAAGCCCTTCTCTTCCTGTGGGGCAAGGAGCAGTTAAAGATTCCAGGACTCCATTTTTGGTCTAGTTTGAACCCACTCCCCCCGCCCAAAAGCAGCCTGTCTGGTATGGCAATTTTGGTGCTTTGGCTTCTCACTTGGACTAGGAACGGCAGGGATGTGTGAAAAAGAGGAGCACAGAAAATCAACCACACCTCAGAGCAGGTGCATTTTGAGGGAGGGGTGAAAGTTGGCACTGGTTCCATTTTATATTCACAAGTACTAACCCTTCTATGATGGGATGGGATCACTGGAGTCTTGTGTTCACTGTGCTGCATCATCCCTCAGAATTGCACTACATGTGCCACCTTCTCTAGACATGGAGGGCAACAAGCCTACTTGTCCCAGGAGGGGATCATGGTGCAGAAGCTCAGGGCACTAGTAGGTCTAGTAGGTCTGCATGATAATGGCTTAGTGTCCCCATTTCCAATCAACACTAGAGACAAATCGATCAGATGAGATATGGAAGCCTTCAGGTGACCAGCCTGGGGACCAGAGAGGAGGAGGCACATGCATATGAGAAGCGTTGAGATGCCACATGGCCTGCCGAGAACTAAAAAGTGTTGGAGAAAGGGTCAGGAAGCATTAAGGAGTTAAGACAAGAACAATGAATCCTTCTAAGTATGCTAGGCACAAAGTCAACAATGCTGCAGCGAGCGCTAGGAATCCCAGACTCAGAGATCACCAAGGCTAAAGTGGCTGCCAGCACTTGGGTTCTAGCTCTCGTGTGCTGCTTAACTTCCACGAGCAGCAGGAAGCGAGGGTGGAGCCCTCACCCTTGGTAAATTGATGGCCGCTCCAACAGCATTTCAGAGCTCTGATTTCCTACCCCTGAGCTGATGAGGAACCAGAGTGTCGTGATACAAACTTCAACTCAGAGTGGATTATTTTTTGACTCTCTTAAAATGGGTTACAGCAAAATGCAAGGGACAAAGCCCAAGCTCTGACCGGGGAGCCGGAGCAGATGAGACTGTGCCAGGGTGGGAGTACATCCTTCACCCCAGTCAACCTGTCTAAAGCTCCCTGGCTGTCTCTGGATAGCTTGTCTTCAGGACTGCAGTAAGCCACATAGTAAGCTGTCATGTAAGATAAGCATCAGATTTACAGTGCAAATTAGTCTCTCAAACAATGGAGTGAGCTATGCATCTTGGTGGCACAGAGGAGCCCAGATTAAGAGAGAGAGACAGCAGAGATGAAAATACACAGAATAATCAGAGACAGACAGACACACAGCCAGAGTGCGGGCAGAATGCTATTCCCTGGAGCCTGTTGCAGCCCATCCTGCTGATGAAAGCTCTTCACCATCTGTCAAGCCTTTTCCTTTCAATCAACGACCTGGCCTTTCCAAGGATCCCTTCAGCTTCACGTCACCCCAAGCCAATTTAGAAGGGAAGGAAAAAAGACAGGAAAAAAAGCACCTCTGCATGTATGCTGATTCTCTGCTTTGAGGTCAGCACCCACACACAATAGACTCTCATCCTTAGCCAGGGCCTTTCGCAATCCTGATTGGTGTCTGTACAGAGCAGTGAATCTACCTGCTGGGTCTGCAGACAAAGCCACACTTTCTGACCCGATAAGGGAAACGTGAACTGTAAAGAGCATATGAGGAGTGTTAGGATGGCAATGTGCACATCAGAATTGACACACACACAATTTTCAGAGGCATCGCAGCAAATGCCTAGGGTTTTGCATTTATTTATTATACATGAAATGACAAAACTGTATGCTATGTTAGTGCTGAGTGCGACTGGACCCCGGGTTACTCCTTCCCTCAGCAGCTGATATGATGGACAAGGAGAATCCTTCTCTCTAAGAGGATTTGTGCAAGCTGTACTTGCCGCTTACCTATGAGAAGAGAGCAGGGTCAGGTGAGGAGAGTGTTTAGGAATGGGATACAGGGCCTTTCATTTTTAGGCCACTAATTTCAATCCAGTCCCAGGCTAGAGGGACTGGCTTGGCTCAGGGAATGGGAAACAAAGCCTTTCAACCTCCATGGTACTGTCTTCCATTTGGTCCTAGATTTCAGGGGCGGGAGAGGCAGGCTGGTTAGCTCAAAAAGATGAGGCTATTAGTTCAAATCTAATCCAAGCTGATAGGCATCAGAGGTTATCTGCTTCTGCTTACTGTTTGGTGACCAATGTGAAATGAGTTGGGAGGACTCAGTCTAGCAAACAACCACTGTTAGGTAGCAGGGTCTGGAGGAATGAATGGGGTTGGGAGTCAGCTGGTTACAAGTTGTAATCCCATCCCCAACACTGATTTCCTGGGCAAGTCACTTCCTCTTTCTGTGCCTCTGCAATGTTGCCAACATTTATGATTTATCATGAGCCCCATGATTATTTGCATTTTTCTTAAAGCCCCACCTCTTGGAGTCATGTGAATGTGTGTGAAACTTGTAAAAGAATAAGTTTCTAGACTCATGGTTATGGAGAAATGCCTGAACACAGGACTTGAGTGCTTCCTAAAGGCCCAAAAAACAAAAGGCA